CGCGGCGTGCCGCAATTGTTTTACAGCAGTTGCGTGTAAAGGGGGAAACACGTCAAATCTAATGAAACATTTGAGGGTACACGGAATAAACTTAAAAGCAGAGGGATGCACCGTGCTTGACAGCTTGCGGACAGCAGCTGGCACGATCGGTGTGGATAACCCCAGCCCCAGTCATACCAACCGTAGCAAAAAGGAGTCCAGCGATTATGATGAGGACAGCAACCTTTCCGCAGGTTAGTAATAGGCTAATGTAATGCTAAATTAACATTACATAGGTGGCTTATGTTTTGTTGTTGTTTTTTGTATTTACATATATATTCATATATACTTAAAACTTTTAATATATTGTTCAATTTTAAGCATTCAATTTTTTGTTCAATAAAAATGTATTCTTGAGTCATCCACCATCATTTTGTGGCTTTTGTAAAGTATCGGTTCAGGCACCGTTTTGGCACCGGTACCGTTTTAAAAGTATCGATTTGGCACCGGTATCGAAAAAACCCCAAACGATACCCAACCCTACATCATATTGCCATCCTCTTATAGGTGACAAAGTAGCTCCACTCGTACGGTACTCGTGATACAAGTAAAATTTAACAAAATTATTTTCAAAGTCATAGGGAAAAGGCATAAATTAACTAGTTGGGATTTTGTGAATCGATATTGAAACGTCAAAACCAGGGTCGCGATTAATCATTGAATCAATAATTTTTTTCCCCACCCCTATTTTATTTTCATATTTTATTTCAGTTTAGTGAAATGTTTTTAACATTTATAACCGTACCTTTCGCTCTACATATCTTTCACTCTCACTGGAGTAACTCAGCACTACAAAGACGCCTCGGTTCATGCTGAAAGGGTAACCGCATCTTAACTCCTGTTCTGCTCTGTCTGGGATGGTGTAGTACCCCCCTATTCAGATCTGGCCCTTGATCCCAAATCCAGGCCTTGCTTTCAGTTCTCCCAGGTAGTTAGTTTAATAATTACTGATTCAGATTGGCCAGAGGCTTCACACCTGGCTCACAGGTAAAGGAAAGCTGGAAAATCGGCAGTGTTTGGCCGTTGAGAATTGTGATTTGAATAGTCCTGTTGTAGTATATACACTGTCCATTAGGTGCTGCTGTTGAGCAGTGACTGAGGCAGCACTGTTCCGAAAGCCGCTGTGAGCTTCAGGCTGGTCTCTGTTGCCTTGTTGGTGTCACACAGCTGCGTGCTGCTTGGAGGGTTAATCGGCATTCATGTCCTGAAGAGTTTGTGCTGTTTTGGCCCCATTTCGGGGATTTGCTAATTACGTAAAGCAAATGTTCCATTACTGCTGCTATTCTCCCGCCAAGCGTGGCGGCCCAGCATGACAGAGCCTCTCAGCACTTGTGTGTTTCTGAGGTGCAGGGTCCAGCCAGGGCAGCATCGGCACGCTGCCATGGGCCCACATGCTGACTGAAGGAATGCCTTGCTGGTCACGGCATTGTGGGACTTCCAGGGACACTCAGACATCAGTGCAGATTGAGCTGGACCGTTATGCGTCTCCCTGTGAGCTGTGCTCACCTCCCATTCTAACCCATTCTGAGTTATCTGGGGGGGTCCTCCTCTTTCTCTCCCAGAAGACCCATCAGGGTACTACAGTGACGTCATAAATGTGCTGCTGCTGATGTGGATTCTGTGTATGGCCTAACCCCCCCAACTCCCCCACAGGCTTCCGGCTGAACGCTTCCTCTTGGCCCATGTTCCTGCTCAAGACCCTCAACGGGGCGGAAATGGCGCCGGCCCGCATCTTCCACAAGGTACCGCCTACCTCCCATTACCCCCTTCGGGAGGTGAACTTGGACCCTGAAGGTTGCAGGTTCATACTGGTTTTCCACCTCTTTGAGAACAGCAGGAGCCCCCTGCACCGGAGAAGAACTTCTTCCAGGTGGGGATGAAGCTGGAGGCCGTAGACCGCAAGAACCCACATTTTATCTGCCCGGCTACTGTGGGGGCGCTGCGCGGGTCCGAAGTGCTGGTTACCTTCGACGGCTGGCGTGGTGCCTTCGATTACTACTGCCGCTATGATTCGCGGGACATCTTTCCCGTGGGCTGGTGTGCCCTCACCGGAGACAACCTGCAGCCACCTGGAACCAAAGGTACTGCCTGTTTTTGTCCTACCCATCTCACCCTCCCTTCTGCCCCACTCTCCTTTGCCCCCCTCCGTTCTGTACCGCTGCCCGTCTCCCTGCTGCTGTTTTTATGTCTGATAGGTGCCGCCTCAACAGATAAGCGGCCGGTTGTCTCAGGTGATGCGTCACGGTGTCGGGGGTGTGGCCCTGTGTCTGGAATGCAGCTGCTTTGAAGCCTGTGCGTGCGTGTGGCCACATTTCCGTGTGCGACCGCATGTGGTGGTGGCAGTCGTGCCCGGAGGGGGTCCGGAAGGGAAGCCAGGAGAGCCTAACAAAGGGCTTCCTGAATGATATGGGGAAGAGAGGAAGGAGAGGTGACAGAGAAAGGGGAGGTGCAGAGGGAGTGGCTGTATTGTAGCCGGGGGGGTTGTTTATGAGGGTTTTGCCACCTCCCAGCTGGCACCGGGCCAACGAAGCGCACGAGTGCCCCAGCAGAGGCCCCATGTTGGCACCCTGAGATGGGGAGGGAGGGAGAGAGAGAGAGAGAGAGAGAGAGAGAAACTAACAAAGTAGTTTACTGTAACCTCCTGGCTGTTTATAAGAGCAGAAGGAGGAGGACAGGCAGGGAGAAGAGCTTCAGAGGAGGAGGCAGAGTTCTGGTGGCCAGCTGCAGGAGGATAAGGAGCCCCCCCCCCTCCCCAGAAGGGACCCCTCACCGGGTTAGGCCTGTGCGTGTGAGCAGGAGTGTTGTCGAGTTCTCTGCCCGTGTCCCGCTCCAACCTGCCTGGGACTGCACTCTGGGTCCGTCCCGTGGTCAGTGCCGCCTTTGTGGGCGTGAGACGTCCTTGGTGGTCTGCTCGGGGGGGCCAACTGGCGGAGGGGACTTTTTGTCTGCCTGTGGGTGCTGGGAGTAGGAGCTTGCAGGTTACGACTTGAGGTAGGAGATCCGTCAGGACGAGAGCCTTGCAGACGCTGGGGGAAAGCCGGGGGTGCGCACGTGTGTGTGTGTGTGTGTGTGTGTGTGTGTGTGACTGTGTGTGTGCGCATTGGGGAGGGGGGACTATCGGATGTGGAGGCATATGTTCGCAGAATCATATCGAAAGTACAGGAAGGAAGTGAGTTGTCTGTGCGCAGTGGCTCAGACCCCCACACAGCGTTAGCACGGTTGCAGCAGGACCCCCCCGGTTCTGTCCCGGCCCGGCCCACATGGAGCCCCAGGTCAGAGAGTACTGTAAGTCCCGTCTGCTTGGCTGCAGTGCTCATGAGATTTTGCGTGTGTGTTTCCGTTACATCAGCGTGCCATTTGTATGCCAGTTTCAGTCTTGTGCCTGACCTTGCCGTCAGCCCGGAGCGCCAAGCTCGTCTCCACGGCGATGGGCAGCTGCGCTGTACTGCCGTCAGCCCTGCTTTGTGCGGGTGTGCGTGTTCTGGGAGTAGGGGTTTCCCGTCACCTTCGCAGGGGCGCGACGGCTGCCTTCAGATTCATTCCGCCGAGCCACACACTCTGGGTTCCATGCTCTCCTGCCACCAGCACTGTGCGGTTTCATCTGGGGGGGGGTCTCTTCTGGCTGTGTTACCTCAAGCACTCCTGTCCTCCTGTTGGTGAAAGGTGGGGGAAGGGGGTGACTCGCGGTTTGGAGGTTTGATCTGATCCAGGGTGTAATCTCACCCCACCTCCGACTTTCTGACAGGAAGTGAAAGAAGTGAGGTGAAGCTCCCCCCCCCCAACCTTATTTGTCTGTCTTTGGCCCCACCCTTTGTGTCCCTTTTGTGTTGCCTGTCTGCCCCCTGTCTGCTGCCCCCCTGAGCAGCTCTTTTTTAGATAATCCCTTCAGCCGCCCCCTTGTTTGACGCTAGCTGGCGGCCGAACCCGTCTGTGATCCCAGACTCACCTCTTCCCTCCCACCCCCTTGGCCCCAGCTGTGCTGCCGAAGAGCTTGGGCCCGCCACCGGAGGGCAGTGTGGAGGGCTCCGCCGTGCACCCCTTGCCGGGCAAGCCCCCTGGGCAGAGCCGCCGCAAGCCGGGGCGCCGGAAAGGCAAGCTGGCCGGAGCCTGGGGCGCCAAGGGGGCTGACGGCAAGGGACTGGAGCCCGTCAAGATCCCCAAGAAGAGAGGCCCAAAGCCTGGCAGCAAGGTGTGTCTGTGAGGGGGGAGTAATGCGGGGGGGGCCTGGACCCATTAAGGAGTGACGTTTGCATTCTGTCAGCTTTAGGCAGACATGGAGCCATCATTTGCAGCTGTCTCTCATTTCTCAGTGTAGCCTTTGGTGGGCTGAGTCTGACAGGCATTGCTGTTTATTTTTGTACCCTCCCTCCCCCCCCCCACCGCCCCAGCTGGGATGGGCAAAGCGGACAGCCTGGCTGGAGGGGCAGATTTCAGGGCCTGGCCGTCCCCTTTCCCGGCCCAGGGGCCGACTCCCAGCCAGCTGGACACAGAGGGCAGCCCTTCAGGCCGCCCAGGGGGAGCCCCTCAAGATCCCCAAGAAGAGGGGCCCCAAACCGGGCAGCAAGGTATGTCTGTGCCCCCACCCCCACACTCTCTCTACTTACTTCATCTGACCTGCCTTCTGACCTTAGTTTATTTTTGTGTTACGGCTTGTAATTAGGGGTGTCATATGACTCCCAGTGTGTGTTTCTCCCATCTCCATGGCAGCCTGAGGTCATTTCCCATGTGAAGTAATTGTGTCCTGCTCTTTCCATGCATTTGGACAGAGGAAGCCCCGCGTGGTGTCCAATCCCATCCCCACATCCCCCACCAGCAGCACCCCAGAGCCTGACACTAGCAGTGTGCCCTTGGACAATGCCACCATCCCTAGCGCCGCCCTTCAGGCACCCACAGGTAACTGCGAGCCTGTGTACTATATGGGGGTAAATGTCCTTTACTCTTTTGTGTTTGTTACCCACTGTTAAGTTTTTCTTAAGGTGTCACAGTATATTCTGTTAAAACCGCATGTAGGTCAAGTAATCAAACAGGTTAAATGAAAGTTTTTGTTTGCTTTTACTTCTCTGTTCATTACATTAAGGGGTGAATGACAACTAAGGTTTCACAAAATGAAAAATGTCAGGTGGTGCAACCAAAAACAATTGTTTTACCATTATTTTGTTCTAAATGAAATCCCTGATAAAGTAACCATTTGCACCACCTGCCTTTTGAAGCTCGTTTCAGATTAAACAAATATCTGCTTGCACACCTGCACAAACTTTTGTCCATGATATCAAGTTTATGCATACAATTTTAAGAACAAATAAGGGGTTTTATCATATTACCGTATTTTCCTGGTTTCCCATGGGTTGTACCACTTTTAAACTGTGCTGGTCTAACCATGAGCTGAAAATGTTAATTATTAATCAATATTTGAGTTAGATCCACTTACGTTTTCACTGCACCATAAAGATTGCTTGGTGTCCTCTTTATAATGTAACATCCAGTGCACTTTTTCTGAAATGACTTTTAAACAAAAAGCCTGTTTTCCTGGTTGTGCCGCCTGACATTTGAGTTAAAGTAAATTTCCGTACAAGTGTATTTTAAATAATCGAAATGGCTTTAAAACCGCAGTGTTTTGACGATTTTTACAAGTTTAAAGTTAGTTTCAATCAGAATTATACTTAATTAAATGGTTTATTGAGTTACTTAAATGCCTACTTTAATAGTTTTCTTATTCTGCTCATGACAAAAATGTCATTTGTATTTGAAATGGATTGAAAATATATTCACACAAAAGTGATTTTATATAATAATGTTAGGCAATTGTTTTTTTCAAGGATTAAAATAGTAATAATGGACTTGGACATGTCATGGCAGGCTCCCTTATTTTACGGGCATTTGTCAAAGGGAATGATCTGGATGTTGAATGAAAGTCAGCATGTTTAATGGTGGACGGTCTTCGGGTGGTAGCTGGGGGCTGCTTTCTGCTGGCTTACCAGAGCATGGAGGCGCTATCCAGGAACAGGGCAGATGTGGCAGCAAAGGGAGGGTGTGTGCGGTGGTGCAGAATCTTTATGGGGGGGGGGGGTTGCAGCGTGGAAAGAGGTCAGTTAGTTTCTGTAGGCGATGCTTGTGAGGAATGTGTGTGTGTGTGTGTGTATGCACATGTTTGTGTACACGTGCATGCATACACATGTTTGAGTTTTAAGATATTCTGTACAGAAATCTTTCACGCTTTATAGTATTTTCAAGTGGTGTATCCCTGTGTGAATGTATAACTACTATTGTACTGTATATATTGTACTGTCTGTGTCAGATGTACTTTGTTGATACTATGAGGAAATTCTGGGACTGCAGCAGAGTGTCTGAGCACAGGGGCAGTGCAGGTGGGTAACTTGAGTACGAATACATAATTAAAAGTGGTGCCATGGGCCTGCAGTTACCTTACCTGGCTGTCAGTTATATAGGTAATGACTGATTAGTATATGTATAGTTACCTAACCTGGCTGTCAGTTATATAGGTAATGACTGATTAGTATATGTATAGTTACCTAACCTGGCTGTCAGTTATGTAGGTAATGACTGATTAGTATATGTATAGTTACCTTACCTGGCTGTCAGTTATATAGGCAATGACTGATTAGTATATGTATAGTTACCTAACCTGGCTGTCAGTTATATAGGTAATGACTGATTAGTATATGTATAGTTACCTAACCTGGCTGTCAGTTATATAGGTAATGACTGATTAGTATATGTATAGTTACCTTACCTGGCTGTCAGTTATATAGGTAATGACTGATTAGTATATGTCGGTTGTATAGGTAATGAAGGATTACCGTGTGCCTGGTTACCTATCCTGGGGTGCGTTTTCAAAAAGCATAGTTGCTAACCATGTTCAATGACAGTTTAAGCAAATGTTCACAAACACTGTTGTGTATTTGAAGATTTAGGTCTCCAGGCTGCAGCCTGGCCCTGCTGGGTGGAGCTGTGACACCACCTTGTGGTCACTGAGGGACATTGTCATGTGTGCCTTTTTGCCCGCTACAGTGTGTGTGTACCTGAACAAGTACGGCAAGACGGGGCCCCACCTGGACCCGTGGCGTGTACAGAACCTGCCGGACCACTTTGGGCCGGGGCGGGCCTCCTCGGTGCTGCAGCAGTGTGTGCAGGCCTGCATCGACTGTGCCCACAACCAGACCTCCGTCTTTGCCTGCCTGAAGCCAGGCCACGGCGGGGAGGTCATATCAGGTGATGCTGGCAGCCTTCTCATCACGGGGGGCGGGGCTTATTGCTTTTCTCAGTGTTTGTTAATCAGGCCCTGCCCCCCCACCAGCCTACTTTGAGCAGCAGCACCACACGCTCACCCTGCCGGCCGTGAACAGCGTCACCTACGTGCTGCGTTTCCTCGAGAAGCTCTGCCACAACCTGCACAGCGACAACCTCTTCGGCAGCCAGCCCGTGTCCCTGGGGGGCCCCCACTATCCCTACAGCGGTGAGGCTCCGCCTGTCTGCCTTCCAGGGGGATACTCGCGTCTGATTGGTGCTTGTGTGTGACAGGCATTTGTCTCTGCCTATCCCAGACAGGAAGAGCTTTGCTGAGGGCCGGAGTACCAAGCGATTCCTGCACGACTCCTTCAGTAGCCAGGCCACCCACAAGCTGGCAAAAAGTCTCCGTCACTCTTCTGAAGGTACCCTCCCCCCCATTAAAGTTAAAATTATAACTGATGTTATTGAAATGGAAAGAGTATATGAAAATTAATAATTGATAGTAAATTATGTTGGGAAATGTTTAAAAATAAGGAGGTAAACTATCGTAAAACTAATCATCATTGTGTGAGAAACTGAAGTTTTTGACTTTTTGGTTGTGTTTTGTGGAAAATAATAGTGAAAGGGTTACCAATTAGAAAATATTATGTAAAAAGGGGAGGTATAAAGCTAAAGCATTAACCTACACCTTTCATGGCCAATATGCATGTATGTCTATGTAAGTATGTGTATGTAATGTGACCGAAATAAATTTAAACCGAATTTAAACTTAATATACAATAATACGCAAAGTGCGTAAGTGTGGTGTATGTCAACACACTGTCTGTTCTGACATCCGCTGGCCAGCATCCTAACGTTTCATTGCTTGGTTGTTGTTTAGCACTGTTTGGGGTCAGATTTGCACTCGCTATTTGTGCTGTGTTTTTAGCAGTCGCTAATTGTGCAGTTTTTTGCATTTGCTAATTCTGTTTTTGTGATACCCTTTTGTGTTAGATAAGGGTCCAAATCTAAGCATGGTTTAAAGTATTTTACAGGTTGGGAATAGGTGCATATGCAAAGTATATAGGCACTTTTATATAAGGCTCTTGAACGAACGCGGATTTTGGAGTATTGTGGTTGGTTGTGGAACCAATTGACCACATACGATACAGGAGAACAGTATTTATCCTTTTCAATGAGTTAGAAAAGATCGATTTTAGCCAAGGGGCCGGTTCTGTGTTATATATTTTGCACATGACCCTGCCCCACCCTTCCAGCCGAGCCCTTAGTCCTGGAGAACGGAGTTGGGGGTGGGCCAGAGCACCTGGAGCCCTCGCCACTTACGACCGGCATGCCAGGCCGCCCCCTGGCCCTGCGCTCGCTCTCCCAGCAGGGCAGCCCCCCCAGCAAGCTTCTTCGCCTGAGCTCCGCAGGTCAGTGTCCAAACAGGCACCCGGGCTGATGCCCCTCTTGCACATTAGAAGGCTCCTATCAGCCTGGAGTGCCTTCACACACCTGCACCAGAGGAGCTTCTGTGAAACTGAACCACTGCCTGCTAGTGACTTTCACTGCTTCTGCCATGTAAAATGTACCTACGACTGGCCTCTTAACATGCAACCAGAAGGTTGTGGGGTCCAGCCAGGATACCGCTGCTGGCAGTGTCCTGCGGAGAACATGCTCAAGATTAGCAGAAATGGCTAAATTTACACACGGAGCCAAAAACAGTCTCCTTTGCATCACCCTCCCCCAGGTTCGGACCGCTTCCTGGGCACCCGAGAGAGCCCCTGGCCCAGTGGGCAGGACCCCAGCCTGTGGACAGTGGAGGACGTGATGCAATTCATCCGGGATGTCGACCCCCAGCTTGGCCCGCACGCCGACCTCTTCCGGAAACACGTAGGCTACCGGCCTTTGGTGGGGTGTGGCATGAAGGTTGTGGATTTGGTACCCTGACCGCCCTCTTTTTGGGTCGGGTCTAACTCACAATGCATCTGCCTTTCGGGGAGGTAACCTGGTCGCGGGGCTCCTGAGCAAATATCCCATGATATGGAAGCTGACAAGCATTTAAACAGCTAACTGCCGCTGATGAAGATGAGGGTGATGCTCACCCAAAGCCATCAGCGTGGGACAGGCTTACTCTCCTACCACATACACTCAGCTATGACGGAACGTCACGAACGTTATAGCCAATGTTGAAGAGTGCCGGCTGATTGTATCGAGGCTTCCTGTGACGCGGCGTTAGGTTCCCTAGGAGCCAGACCCCTCCCAGGATGGAGAACATCGTTTTGATTTGAATCTTCTCTAGGCGGAGATATGGGCCAGTTTCAGCAGGGTTGAGAGGTAGCTGCATTTCAGCCACCCAGCCACAATCACACTGATAAGCACTATGAAGGTGGCCTCCCTCTCATTTAAAATCATCACCCTTGTGCTTTTACGGTCCGTAAATCAAGTGAGTTGTTTTATTGCAACAGCAGTTCGCATTTGATGTGAAATCTCCAGACCTTTCAGTAACTATAATTTACAAGTTATTTGTTGCCCAGTTGCACTGTTAAGTGTGTCAGCATAATCGCATCTAAACCATTTCAAAATTAGGTAAATAAAATCAAAAAATAAAACCATCGTTCATTTGTATATAGGGAGCATTAAGCATGTTAGCTGTTGGCAAACAGTACTGCTGTGATGCCTGGCACTTAAAGGCAGGGCGGTAACCACAGATACCCCCCCTAATCACTGCAGCTTTCGATGAGCGTTTCTCACGCTTATGCACGTGCATTTTCATTTTGTTAGCACCTTTGTCAAGCATTAACGTGTCGTGTGGTACTGCGTGTGGGAGCTGGCGAGCCGGTCCCTGGGCGTCACCAACCCCTCCATCTCTTTTGGCTTACGTTTCAGGAGATTGATGGGAAAGCCCTCCTACTGCTGCGCAGCGACATGATGATGAAGTACATGGGGCTGAAGCTTGGCCCCGCCCTCAAACTGACCTTCCACATTGACAGACTCAAACAGGGGAAGCCCTGAGCGTCCAGGGAAGATCCCCCCCCCCCCCAAACTGGAACCGGCTCCACACGGTATATGATGCGCACAGAGAAGGCACTTGCTGACCATCGTTGTAGCAATCACAAACCAGCCTTTGGGGTCAAAAGTCAAGCTGCTGGCACTCACACGAATCGGCCATGGCCAGTCTTTAGGGCCCTGAAGTGTTACCTGTGAGCCTCTGCTGCCCTTTCTGGCCCCCCTCCCTCGAGGGACGTGATGGTTCTTTGAATGTTTTGGCACCAGCCGAGTAGAGATTGGCGCACCTGTGTTTCGAACCCTTGGTTTTCTCTCATGTAGCACGTACAGCCGGCCCCAAGGGCGTCACTGAAAACTACAAACTTACCCATGGTCTTTGTGTCCTGGTACCATACTGCTAGACCTCGGTTCTTAATTTTGACCTCTTGGCCAAGCTCACTTTATAAAGACTGTTTTGGCCTTTTTGGCCTGTGTTTTTATGAATTTTTATCTTGTGTGTGTATATATATAAATATATATATTACAAATTCCCTTTAACTCTGGAAAAGATGGCTCTTTTTTTTTATATAAAGGACTGTTATCTCCCCACCCCATGTAAATTCCCAGATAAACACTAGCTCTGACCCCAACCTTTTGGGATTGATTCTGTACTGACCTCTACTGAGGCGATTTTATTTTTTTTTTTCACATCATACTTTATACAGCTTTGAGATGTACTGGAATAAAGAGTTACTGAATGTGCTGTCATGGAAAGGACAGTCTATATATCCTCATCGGTGTTAAATGCGATTGCTCTGTCTGTTTCCTGTCGTTTGTACTTTTTTATTTTTTATACTATATTAGAAGGTATACGTTGAGAGCATTCTTACTTAATACGGTTCAATAAAATTAATTTGAAGCTGAGTCTATCCTTCAGTTCCCCCGTGGAATTTCTCTGCTGCAATCATTATTGCACTCATTGTAGTGGCGAGATACTTTTCTTTTTCATTTTTGATCTATCCGATCTTTTCTGTAAGTGAAAACAAGAAAAATAATAATCTTTATTTAAATAGCACTGTTTATTCATGAAATGCAGCTCAAAATGCTTCACATATGGGGTTAAAATGCACAAAATTACACAAAAAATAATTATGGCAATGCAAAAGGTTGCTGAAGTGGCAGGTTTTTTTCTGAATGTGCGTTATTGGTGCTCTACAGAGCCAACTGTGAAGACCTGCACGCTATGATACACAACATTTCTGGCTGCGGGGTGGGTCACCTGAGCTCTTGCTTCAACCTCAGACTGCCAGCCTGAAAACTGGCATGTCTCTGAGGAATGAGGAAATACTTGTTTCTGTTTCACATCTGTATTGTTAATATAGGTCCCTGGAGTTAAAATGCAAGACTCAAGGGTTACTGAATTATTTTTTTGGCTGCTCCCCTGATACTTTTGCTAATATGCTTCAGGAGTGCACAGTAGCGTGTTTTTAAGTGAACACTTAGAAATCACTGGGACATTTTGATTTGACGTAGGCGTCAACCATCATAAACAGCGTTTGCTGTGTTTTTCTGCAAAGCGGGTGGTAAGGAAGCCTCTTCAACAGAATGGCTGTTTAACATGTGGCTTGAAATGAAAATTTGGGTTCTGCGTAGGAGGCAGAGTTCGATTAAGGTGGACGATCAAAGGATTGCAAAGTTTACTGCAGACGTAAATTCAGCACGGTTTGCCATGTGCTCCTGAGAGAAGCTGGGGATGTGTCACTGAACAGAGGACTGTTGTGTAATCTTTGGTTCTGGGTCAGTTATGATCGCACATATCATTTTCTGTTTCATTTGCACAAACCGCCATGGCAACAGTGGAACCCTGATCACGAGAAATCTCACTGGACCCACCTGAAGTCCCAAATCTGTTGCTGGTTGGGTGATGTCATTGGGCCAGGTGGCGGTGCAGTGGGGCGCTAAGACTCTGTTCTGGCCATGCCAGCGAGGTGGCATCTAGCAGCAATATTCTAGTCTTTCAGCTCATGGGGTGTGTACCTACTGTAGGGGAAGTTCACGATGCAAATGATCTACAGAATCAAAAGCACTCTGTGCTCGTTGTGGCATGGTTTGCATGTTCTACGGGGATTTTCTTCAGGTACGCCAGTTTCGCCGTCCAAAGACAGCTTTAAGAAACGGTGTCTAAATTGCCGTCAGTGACTGATGGCGCATGAGTGTGTGTGCCCTGCTATGGACGGCCATCCCATCCAGAGTGTCCCCTGCCAGAGCATTCTGGGATATGATCCAAGCACACCGTGACCCCGCACTGGATCAGCAGTTATGGAAAAGGGATGAACTTCAGTAACGCAAGTGTTTTTGTTTAATGGCCATGTCTCAAAGCAACTTCTGCCCGAGATATTCAACATGCCAGGAGTTGAGAATGGTGTAATCTTTTTTGCAGCATCCATCTGCTCAGGCCCGCCGTATTTGCTGAGCTGTTTGGATAACCCACTTGCTCATTAGATCCCGCTGTTCCTTGCACCTTGACCAGGTAAGCAGTAATGTGTGTTAACTGTTAACGATCAGAATCGGTTCCAGTAATGAATGCTTTACGGGTGCAGAGAAAAAAACAGAAGCAAGATGTAACTTTTTTTAATCAATGCCCCATCTGTATTTTATGACCACTCAGTGGAATGATTGAATTAAATCTTTAGTTAATTAGAAGTGTATCTTGAGTGATGTCGGGGCTCCCTGTCTTGGCCTGCACCTGGTTTCGGAGGGATGCCCCTTCCTGGCAGCAGCCTTTCGAAGGGCAGGCGCTGCACATATGCCGTCCAGGTGGCCGCGTACAGCTTCTTTCCCATTAGCAACTGGGCAGAAGCCTGTTGTAGGCATGCTGGGAGTGCAAGCAAGCATGCCTGTTGCCCTAGCAACTGGTCACTTCTGTTTCTGCAGGGAGAGATGTAACACAATGCATTGGGCCCAGTGAGCATGTTCAAATAAACCCGCATTTAACATTTAACTAATCATTGTAGTTTAGGATCACTATGATTAACTCTGTATTTCTCTAAATTTTACTCAACTCATTAATTCCATACTGTGTCACACTGGATGCGCTTATGGCCAATTACGCAATATCCACAGACACAATATGGCCAAAGGCAGCGTGATCTCGCTCCAGGGGCTGCTGGGAAGCTCATATTGCCACGATGTTGCCATGATTGGTCAGGTTAGCTCAGGCTCTGACATCCACCACCCCCCCCCCCCAGCACGTCTAGTAGATTCATGTCAGCATGTTCCATCAGATCATCTCAGGGACTGACAGAACTCAGTGTGTCTGATTGACTCAACTGAGAGGCTGCAAAGTCCCTATTATGTAAGCACTCGCCATCAGTTTAACAGACCCAAGTGATTAGTCAGAAAACTAGATTCACTAGATCGTAATGTGCCAGACTCTCCCCCCAGTTTCTCGAGTGTACTAATCCTGGCCAGGAATCGCATAGCTACCTAGGAAACTGCTACAGACACTCATTTTAGAAAAGTGAGAAGTAACCAAAACAATTTATTTGCTGTGTAGAAGTATACCACATCATTTATAAGTCAAAGCGAAACAGGGATCTGTCTATCTCAGCTCCTTGACGATATATGTAACATAACCAACATGCAAAATGATACTGAGGGTCAGAATAATGCGTACCGATTAAGAGTGGAGTAAGTCTGGGGGGGATATGATTACAGATTTTAAAACGCACAACTGTGTGTTTCAGGCTACAGAGTGACTCCCCAACCATTCTGTGCACCTCCTTTAAGTAAGTGACCAAGTGAAAGAATCCCTTTGAATAGAGAAATAACCTGATCAAAGATCATGTGTAACCAAACGATTCCCAAGGGACATTGCAGTGGACATGGAGATGTCAGCTATCAATTATAAAGTCAGATGGCTAGTCGGGAAAACGGGCACCAGGGAAATAAGGTTCTGTGCAAGAGCTTACCAGCAAGGCAAGATCTGCCTGATGGTGTCTTTATAATAGATAACACAGTGTTTGAAGACTGAGACCACTGTAGCAGTCACATGCCACAAGTACCCAGGGTCCTCTCAGAGTCAGCTGCCTCACAGATGTTTATCCATTATCATCAGATTAATGCTGAAATAGGCCATACTACTGATGAGCCCAAATTTGCTTTGGACACCAGATGGCGCCATAATGCATCCATCAGCAGGGCTCTGAAAAGGGTGCTAGACTCAACATAAGTAAATCTCTCACAATCTCGTAGGTGAATGTGGTTGGGATGATGCAGTCTGGACTGTTACATCACCTCTCGGGGCCCCGCACATTGCCAGGTGTGTGACTGACGGCCCAGTGGCTCTCCTGTCACTCCATGAAGAAGGGCAGATGTGGTTTGAGCGCCCCCTCACTGTGCTTGGTTTCAGACCTCCCAGGAGATTGCACTGATCTGATTAACATGGTCCTTCATTTCGTCTCCCTGCCTTTTGAGGGTTCTTATCTAGAACAACTGGAACAAGCATTTAACTCAAACTGTCTGCCATAGTCTCCATTGGATTATAAATATTACCTAGCCCACTATAACTTGTAGGTTTTATTCTCTTATGGCTTTCATCCACTCTGCTATTTGACTTACTACTGTAATGCTGACATTATGATTTGTGTGTGCTTGCCCATGTGACTGCACACACAGATAGATCTTTCAGAGATGAGGACTGGCCAGTATTTCCTCCATTTCCTGTGGCCTGAGTGACTCAGTTACGGGACATGGGCCAGCACGGGTGGCATGTTTCATTGTGAGAAATGCAAAAAATCGTTGTGTTTTTTTTTTGTCTCCATCGCTCTCCTCTGCGCAGGCGATGACGGAGAATTTCACATCAGTGCGCGGGTTCATGTGGTTGGCTGTGAAGAGGCTGCACTCCAGGCGAAGAAGGCATGATGTACTGTAAATCTAACCACATCCTAACAGCGAAAACAGGAAGCAGCTCCTCAGAGCCTCTGTTGACTGACCAAAACCACCGACGTAGTAGATATGGAGGCTGCCTGTGTATCAGTGTTGCACGTCTGTTCATGCATACACATGTCTGAGTGCATCCTCTATGCATCCATACAGGTATGTGTTTTTGGGGCAAAACACAGTCAGAAAAATGCATGTATGCATAGATATACAGAGAAACCAAAGCGCCCACAAAAAACCCACAAGTAAGACGTCCAACTTGAAAGACATAGAGCTTCATCGTAGCCTCTGTGGTGAAAACAAAGTATCGAATCATCCTTTAAAGGTGTTTACCCCAGTGCCTTCCAGGTAGTTATTTACTCTATGGATTAACTCTCACTTATCTAAATGCCCCCCCTCCCCCCAACAGTGAGCACACGTGTCCGAGTCACAGTGACTGGCCCTGTTAGCATGCTGTGCTGCTCTGTGACTCATAAGACTGTTTCCAAGGACCCACACTCTCCCACATCCCTGTGGGAGTCTCGCCTACTGCTTTTGGCGGGGGAGGGGTTGTCCTCCCCCCGTTCTGGGCCATGGCATTTCTGCAATGTCTCAACAAACCTTGAGCAGATCTGACCCGCTTCCATCAAAGGCGATGGGCTGACATCATCACTTTGTTATTGTTGTTTTGACTGGGGCAGGAAATTAATGAATTTAGTTGCAATGGAACCTCTTGTGAAGTAGATGCTTGTTGCTAATGGTAACCCATTTGCCAATAAGATGCTGCCCTGGTAAGATCTCATAGATCTGTGACTGTACATCTGTCAGTTGTGTGTTGTATCTCCCTGAGGAAGGAGAGGGGAGAATGGAGTAACCCAACTGTTATTCCTAAAGACCTGCAGGAGAAGGAGCTGTTGTACAGCCAATCAATTAATTTCTTTGTAACACAACACCCCTTGTGAGGTCATTGGGGGCGGGGACTAGGTTCTGACTGTGCCCTTCTCTCAGGAG